TTTTTTTTTTTTTTTTTTTGGTACCAAGGATTGAACCCAAGAATGCTTTACCACTGAGCTATATTCCCATTCCTTTTTATTTTTAATTTCGAGACAGGATCTTGCTAAGTTGCTTAGAACATTAGTAAGTTGTTGAGGCTGGCCTCAAACTTGCCATCCTCTTGCATCATTTCAGCCCCCTGAATGGCTGGGATTACAGATGTACCCTGCTGTGTCTGGTCCACAATCTAGTTTTATTCTATTTCAAGCTAACAGGGCAAGCTACTACCCCCATTTCTTTTTCATTGTCATTAATAATAACAACAATAACAAAAATGTCCAACATTTAGTGAGTGCTTCTTATATTTTATATTTGATATATGCATTATCTCATTTAATCCACAGTCTTATGGAGTAGACTATGTTCAAGCCATTCAGTTTGGAAGTAAAGCCAGGATTCAAACCTAGGCAGTTTCACACAACAGCTTGTGCTGTTAAACATTACCTACTAAATAAGCATCAAATTAAGGAAAAAACCCCATGTTGTTAGGGTGACTGTAGACTCTGTTATAGCTTTCTCTTAGAAATTAGGTAACTTGATGATTATATTAGTAGTTAATAGGGCCCTTTATAAGCTACCTGGGAAGTGTTTGTATACTGAATGTACCCTCTGATTAAAGGAAAACTGAGCTTTATTAACTTGACTTTATGGATTTCTAAATGAGGACTATTGGTGATTTTCAAGGTGTTTTTTTCTTGTTTTCCCTCAAAATCCAACATACAAGTAAAAATAAGATCTCATAAATTCATTCAAAATGGAGTTTTACAACCTCATGCTAAGATTTCTGCTTTGCCTGTTACACAACTAAAATCCATCTGGTAACCCATTCTGGCAAACTTATTAGGATCTTAGAATATTTATTTTGTTTATCAAGTTTTCTTATGACTTAATTATGACTTAATGAAATAAAAGGGAAATAAAGATTTTTGTCATAAAACAAAAAGAAAAAAAATTCCCTTCATTTTGTGCCCTAAGACTGTCTGTAAGGACCTCAAATTATTTTCTTAAACAAGCTGTAAAGTAAAAAAATATACATTTCCAATATGTCAAACATTCATTTGTATGATATTGAGTAGAATATCTCTCCCTTGATTTTCAACTGTCATTTTGTTTTAAAATTTGTTAAAGAGCTATGGTATGTCTTTTTAAATATAGTTGATCTGTTTCCCTTCATTCATATCCGTCTTTTCATAAAACACTTCTTATTTGTAATGTCCACCATCATCTCTTATCTCATTCCATGTGTAGTTTTTCTTACTATAGTCAGTCCTTCAAGAGGTTTCAGCATTTAGGAATATAATAGTTGCCATATTATCAGGCTAGGGGTATAGCTCAGTGGTAGTGTACTTGCCTCATGTTATCATGTGTGAGGCCCTGATTCAGTTCCCAATCCCCCACGCCCCTTACACATACACAGATTACCAGATTATCAACGTAAAAATATTTGTTGACTAAATCTTAGTGCTTGGCCCTATAAAATTACAAAGACAAGAAATGAACATAAGAAATTAGCGATTAAATGTCAATATATGCTAGACATTTCATCTATGTGTTTCATTTATCTCCCTTAATTCTTTTAATAAAAATACTGAATAAAAGTTACGTGAGCATTGGCTTTTTAATCTTATTTTTGAAATTTCAGTTACTACATCTGATGTCCCTTTTGATAACTTCTGAAACCAAAGCATTTAATGAAATTAATATATCTTCAGTCTTTCTTTTCAAACACTAAAATAATATTTAAAAAAATTTTTTTAAATGTTGAATAGTAATAATCTCAGTTTTTATGTATAAGGAAGCTGTAGCTGAAAGAGATAAAAGAAACAAAGCTAATAAAAAATGGAGTTGTAATTTACACAACTTAAGTAGTCTGGAAGTAAGAGATGTGTTTCACTAGCATAGAGGAAAGATAATATTTATTGAAAGCATACTGGAATGTGACATGAGACACAAGAAGAGCAGAAATACAGTCAGTCCTCAAGATAACTGCTATCAGCGACAGGGAGATTGCTAGTGTTCTTAAAAAATTTGTTTTCTCCCCCCCTCCAATTTATTTATTTATTTATTTTTTACATACATGACAATAGTGGAATGCCTTACACTCATTATTATCCATTTACAGCACAGTTTTTCGTAACTCTGTATATAATGTATGTTCACGCCAAAATTATGCCATTATACGTGTACTCTTTTTTTTTTTGCATTACAATTCTTAATACACATATATACCAGTTTTTCATATCTCTGTATATAAGGTATATTGACACCAAATTCAAATCTTCATAACATATATTTTGTATAATGATGACCATCACATTCCTACATCCTTGCTAATCCCCTTCCCCCTCCTTTTCCCTCCCACCCCTCTTCCCTATCTAGAAATAATCATCCTCCCATGCTCTCCTTCCCTACCCCACTTTGAGTCACCCCTCTTATATCAGAGAAAACATTCGGCATTTGGCATTTATTTTTTTTTGGATTGGCTAACTTCACTTAGCATAATCTTCTCTAATGCCATCCATTTACCTGCAAATGCCATGATTTTTTTTTTTATTGCTGAGTAGTATTCTATTGTATATAAATGCCACATTTTTTATATCCATTCATCCACTTAAGGACACAGCCACTGAAAGGACTTAAAAATTTGTTTTCTCTGTCATTTTGCTTCAGTGTCTCCTGCTCTTGATAGCAGAACACCAAGAGTCCCCAAGTTTCATAATTTAGAGTTCATACCCCAGGGACTCTGGCTTGATTGGGGTCAGTTTCCCACTCCTGAATAAGTGGGAAGAGAGGTCACATAGGAGACATGACCATGGGAGTTTCACCCTTATAATATTAGAGCCATTCCCAGAAACTTATGGCTCACTGTTACCTCCAATTAGTATTTAATGTGATATTAAAATTTAGGGGTTTCATCCCCAATTACGTGTTCTTGCCACTATTACCACTGTACAACATGTCACTGAGGTGATTTATAATGTATTAAAAGTGGGGAAATGCAACCTATAAAACATATACAAGGAAGCATATGAAAGGTATGAAGGGAATAAAAGGTAAGAGGGATGAGATCTATTCTGAAATAGTTTTCACTTTAGTTTGGGGTATTCATGAAGAGAAACTTTGAAAGATGGCTGATCTTTGAAATGAGGAGTACAATCAGGATAAACAGCAAAACAATAGTGAAAATAAATGAAGCAGTTTTACCGACAATGAGGAGACCACCCTAGAAGACTACCTAAGGCTCAAGTATTGATCCTTTTCACTCACCCATGTTTCTGTTGCTGTTAACACTGAGTATCATATTGAATAAGCACCAAGCATAATGATCAGGGAGGCTGGAAACAAATCAGGTTAGCAACCACTGTAGTAGTACATCTGTAAACTTAAAGGGCCTAAGATAGCACTGAGAAAGAAGGATAGAGCTGAGAGCAAAAATATAATTGAAATGTAAATGTGCTAGAAAATAAACAAGTTAGGACCTGCAGGGTTGAGGAATATTTAGTGTCACTGATCTAGAAAAAGATCAACAACTTGCCAGGAATATGATTAATTCTAACTGGGTTATTGTGGTAGAAATCTAAGTTGAAATACACAGGCATGAAAATTTGGAAAGAATTGAGAGCTAGAGATTTGGAAGGAAGGTGTGAAACCTGGTGAATGTTCTAAAGGAGGATTTGTGGTGAACTGAAACTTAAGAGCATCCACACAGCTAGTATGAAATAGAGATGGAATTTTGGTTTTACTTCTTTACCTGCTATTATTTTCTGTGTTGTGTTTTCTGTATTTTGTCTCTTAAGTAGACTATATGGTAATCAAAGTGTCCTTAGATTTGGGGAGAGGGGTAGGAAGTAGGATTTATTGGTGGGCATGACTAAAGAGGGGACAGGAAGCACAGGGGAAGCCCTCACAAGTGCAGGGCTCGCCACTTGTCCAGGGACCATGAATAAGTATGAATAAGACCCATAGCCATTCAAGATGAACCACTTCTCAGCCACCATGTCTTCAAATTCATCTGCATTAAACTTAGTAAAGCCCTACTTCTTTAAGATGTGAATCTTCTGTGACCAGGGAATTTGAACTTGAGCCCTGGCTAAGACCTTAATCACATCATGCTCCTTGTTCTGCAACTTGGTGCAGATGGACGTGATGATTTGGTCAGTATAATCTCTGATCACTGTGCCCTGGGGACTTCCAAAAGCATTTCAAATACCTGTCTGGAGCCCTCGATTATGAACAGCCTAGGAGACAGGAAGGTCCATTGGATCCTGTTTTCAAAGGACCCTTAGGGTAATCTAAACAAGCAACACTTGAGTTATCACTGAGGATGCTGCTGTTTGCAAGTATTGCACCCTGGGGCCCCAAGAAGAAAGATGCCCAGTCAGCTTAAATGGCTGCAAATTTCCACAGATTGAATACCTATATGTGCTCGGCTTAAAGTACATATTCAGTTAAATCACTCAAAAAAATTTTATCAGTTAGATTATGATGCTTTGCCTAACTTTTATGACAAGTTTTAAAAATTTCTAATTTGTTAAAATTAGATAATCAAATATATCAATTATATCTTCTACCTTTGCCTCAAAACCCACTGTTTCTAGCCTTATTTATCCTGTAAGCTTGGCTATATTTTAGAAAGGAATCTACCTCTGAAATACTTTAAATGGTACATAGCTTATCTGCTTAAAGTATTAGAACCTAAAAAAAGAATGATTTAAAACATAGAAAACAATTTCAGAATCAATACGATTATTCAGAATTTTAATGTATATTACTTTTGGTACCTTAATAGATTAAGATAGTCTACAACATTGGTTTCTAAATTTATAAGTAGGATAAACCAAAGTTTATGGCTTTTTGAAATTATATCAGTATTGGTACATTGGGATTACAATTTCTCTTTTGATCTAATTCTAATATGCCAACATATGATTGGAATTCATTCCTTCATTACAAAACTGTACCTTTTGGTCTCTTTTTGTCTTAGCTTCTGTTAGTCTTAGATAGCAGAAGTAGCTTGGGGGTCAGCATACACATTTACACCCACTTCGTGCATATCTTTGCCAGGGCATTGGCATTGTAGAATCAGGGAAAGATAGCTAATGTCTGTATTTGAATAAACTGTATTTTTGATATTTCTCTTTTTTTTTCTCATTTACAGGGAGTTGATTTTCATATGGAGTAAACTACAGCTTAAATCTAATCCTTCAAAACAAGTTTTTGTAGATCAATGCTACCAGCTTTTAAGAACAGCAACTAATGTGAGAGTCATATTTCCTTTCATGAAAATCATTAAAGATGAGGTAAATAGGATATATTTATCCCTTGAATTTTAAAATAAATTTAAATGACAATTCACTGAAACTCGAATCTCTTATAAAATTTATTTGACTATAAAATTAAAAATAAGGAGGATTTTAAGACTTCATTCTCCATATATTACATCCTCCTCTCCCCTAACTCCAAACTCCCAATGTGGAAAAAAAGTCAGTTTACTAAAAATTTGGGAACAGTTGCTTCAATAAGAAGCTATTATCTCTTATGACTAAATATGTTGTCACTTTTGACATTATTCTAAATTCCAACTGTAAAATATTAATTTGCAAATGACCTTTACACGTCTATAGGGAACACCCGTTCACTGTCACAGAAAAGCTTAGTTTATAGTTTAACACTGGTGTTTATATCAAAAGGAACAATGAATTCTGGCATGTTTTGAAACTTAAGGACAATATTTAAAGTATTTATCTAAAGTAATTATAAAAACTCATTGCCTGGTTTTAAAAATAGTCCTGAATCAAGTTTTTCTTGGGCCACTTGCAAATGATTAATTCTATATATGAATTTTACATAGTCATGAAAGTGAATTCTGTACTTTTCCCTTCAAATTTTATTAACAAGATCTTGAATACAAAGATAGGGAAGATAAGGCCACCCTTTATTTTGTAGCTCCATTTAATTGACTTTTTGTGGGTTACTTTTAAATACATAAAGAGGCATCAATTAAATAATATGATGTTGTTTTTTTTTAATGACTTTCACTCGAAATACTAACAAGACTTTCAATACAAAGTCAGGAAAGATAAAGCTATCCTCCATTTTCTAGCTCCACTTAATTCAGTATTTATGTAAGTTACTCTTAAATATGTAAGGAGACAGCTGTTCAATAATATATTTTGATTTTTTTCTTATTTATGTATTTATCACATTATCACATCACTCATTAGATGTGTGACCATATAGTAATTGTGTTCCCATGATATATAAAGTTGGCAGCATTGTTTGGTTTTTGCTTTGCTTTTTTATTTCTAATTTTTAAATTGCATTTATAGTGTCCTTACTGAATAGTTAACTATTATTCAAATGTATTGTCAGAGTTACCTCTCCTGTATAGAAACAAACTATGGTATAGAACACTTAACATATGATGTGTATCTGAGTCCACTGATAAGACTTCATTTTAAAAAATCAAGATGTATCCATATGCATCTATTTATCTCTGTGTTTACATATAGTTCTCATTTGTACCAAAAGTTGAGAGCCTGTGTTATAGAAAGTTTATATTATGTTGATTTTTCTGATTATTTATAGAGCTTTCTTACTTTCGTGTGTCTGGTTAACCTAAGAATACATAATACTGAGGAAAAATTCAAAGATAAAATAAACATCAAAAATATGATGCTTAATGGTTTATGCCCTACTAAAAAAGCTTTTATCTGATAGAGATCATTCAAGTGTTTCAGTGCTATGAGAAAAGGCATAGTTAACAGTGAATTCGGAAGAAGGTATCACAAATAGTGTATCTGCCAAGGCTTCATAAAGAAGGGAAGATGCTTTAGCTTGGGTTTTAACAGATGAGGACAGTACTAACATTTGTAGAAAATTTTGTAGTTTACAGAACACTTCTTCCTCATTTTATTATTTATTTTTCACAACTGTCTGGTGGCATTAATACGGGAACAAGAAACATGGTGAAGTGGATGAGAATTGAGATTTTAGGGGTTAGGGGTTATTCCTAAAGGGACTTGAATGCTTCACTAAACATTGTAACTTCAGTTTATAATTCTGAAACCACTAAAGGATTTCAGGTAAGGAAATAGCCTATTTACTTTTCTGATGATCTTAAAATTTTAAAAAACGTGTGCATTTGAATACTTTATAATCTTACAAGTCAAGACAGAGGATGTATACAGAACTTAAGAGAAAGGTAGAGAAGGAATTATGTTTTAAACTAGTGGATCTTGAATTTGTTATACTTGGAAAATGTAGGTGGGAAAATTAATTGTAATAGACTTAAAAATTTTTAATTCAGAAAGTATTTCAAGCCCGAGATGATGGATTTATAGGAGCAATCCAAAGACAGTAGAATAAATTTGATTCCCATTCATTGTGCAAACATTTATTCAGTGGTCACTATGTACCAAACTTCTCTGCTAACCATAGGAAAATACAAAAAATGAGATACTGTGCCTGTGATTTAGGAATTCAAAGGTAGGCATATATGTAGATAATTCTAAAACAGTATGTAAATGCCTCTTAGATATAAATTGTTAAGTCTTTCTTAGTGGAAAGAATAGTGATTACCTTAGGGCAGGAGCCAAGATGGATGGAGAGAACTGATTACAGAGTAGAATTGATACTAAAATAATGAATAGATCAGTAGGAATTTATCACCCGGATAAAGTGGGAACAGTCTCTGAAGTTAAGGCCTGTTTTTGGAACTGTAATTAGTTAAGCAGGGTTTGACATCATGTAAGGAATTAAGAGGGCACGAGGCTGGCAAGATAGTACTCTTTCCTGTCATCTATAATCATATGCAGGCAGTATGACTATGTAACATATGCACCATATATGTATGTACATTGTATGTGTGTGTGTGTGTGTGTGTATGATTTTAAGTATTTATAGATTCTTTCAAATTGTTAGAGGAATTATTTATAACTTAAGATGGATCAACAACAGATTCCTAAATAAAGGCTGTTACATTTGTCTTTGAGTAATTAATAAAAGTTTTAAAGTTTAAATTATTTTTAGATATTTTCCAGTAGGCTTAGTATTCTGATATTCTGTTAGATTGCCAAATGATAACTACTCTGTTCATGTACACTGCATTTCCCCTTTATTTGGATAAACATTTCTTGGGGTGGGGTGGTAGTTCAGTAATAGAGGACTTGAGCATGCACGAAGCCCTAGCTTTGATTCCTAGCATTGAAAATAAATAATATTAATAGTAAAATACGTAATGTTTAGTATACCATTATAAAAATTTCCATAATAGTTTTGTTTTTTGGTTTTGGAACTGTAGATTGAACCTAGGGGTGCTTTACCACTAAAGTACTCACCATTTCTTTTTACTTTTAAATTTTGAGACAAAGCTTGCTAAGTTCCTGAGGATGGCCTGGAATTTGTGTTCCTCCTGCCTCAGTATCCCCAGTCACCGGAATTACAGGCATGACTGGCATAAAATTATTTCTTAACACTATTTCCAAGTTAACCCTTCTGTCAAAGAATGTAAGAGTGGTATTTAAAGTAATAAAGTGATCAATCTTGCATTTGTAAGCCGTTGTAATAACTGAAACTTATGAAATATTTTGTTGTGGTTACTGAGTTTGTTAAACTTGAAAATTAAAGTGAAAACTAATGTCCTATCTATTTCAGATTTCTTGTTTTAAAAAAAGAAAGATAATAATAAACAGGAGTTAAAGCTACCAGTTAAGGAAAATTGCACCTTGAAATACTGTGTGCTAAAAGGTTCCCCTTCATAATTGTATTTTTTTAAAAAAAGTTGCTATAATCACTTTTTAAAAAAAGTTATTTAGTAGTAATATTTTTCTTTTTACAGGTTGAAGAAGAAGGCTTGCAAATTTGTGTTGAAATTTGTGGTTGTGCTCTACAACTTGACCTTCATGATGATCCTAAGACTAAATGTCTAATTTATAAAACAATTGCACATTTTTTGCCAAATGATTTGGAGATCCTCAGGATTTGTGCGCTTTCAATATTTTTTCTAGAGCGCTCCTTAGAAGCTTATCATACTGTTGAAGAGCTTTACAAACGTCCAGATGAAGAATATAATGAAGGCACAAGTAGTGTTCAAAATCGTGTTCGTTTTGAATTACTTCCAATTTTGAAAAAGGGATTGTTTTTTGATCCTGAATTTTGGAACTTTGTAATGATTAAGAAGAACTGTGTGGCATTACTGAATGATAAATCAGCAGTTAGATTTCTAAATGAAAGTACACTGGAAAATTCTACAGGTAATCTAAAAAAGACAGTGGAACAGCAAAGTTTAGATGAAGGGCTTGACTCTCTTACAGATCAGAGCACTGGAGAGACTGATGCTGATGATCTATCTGGAGTGCAACCTAGAGGTCATGTTAATACAAAGAAAAACCTTACA